GGCTCCCCCTGCAACCCCCCCGCCAGCGAGCCGCAGCTCCAGGAGAAGCTCAAGCAGCTGCAGCTGGGCAGGGGTCTGGCTCCCAAGGCTGGCACAGCACCCACAGACCCCTCCTGCCTGCTGACACCACCCACCACCCCCCTGAATTTTGACTCTGGGAGCCTGGAATCCCCGCAAGGCACCAGCAAGGGGCTGCAGGACCCCCGGAGGAACGGGATGAATGGCACCAAAGGCAGCACCCCTGAAGGTACCGAAAGCTGGCACTGCCCTGCTTTGGGGGTGCAGGACTGGGGCACAAGGGTGTTTGCTGCTGTTCTCCTGCACGGCCCTCCCCATACACGTGGTTCCTGCGGGGACTTGTCAGTGCTTGGGCAAGGCAGATGAGAGCAAATGAAGCATCTCCTCCAGCTCCTGCCCTGGCCAAAAACCAGCCCTGGGGCTACCTGAGGTTGGCTTTGATGGGGTTTTGGGGGGCAGTTTTCTGTGGGAGGTTGTGAGGCTGGGTTTGGGTGATGCCAGAGCAGTAAGCTGGTCTCTCCGCTGTCAGGATGTTCGCCGACCCCCTATGACTACCCCACGCCAGAGTCTTCCAGCCGCAGCTCTGCCACCGATGACTTCTGCTACGTCTTTGTGGTGGAACTGGAGAGAGGACCCATAGGGCTGGGGATGGGGCTGATTGACGGCTTGGTGAGTTCTTCCCGATTGCTGGACAGGGCCGATGCCCCTCCAAATAGCTGGAGTGGGACACGTGGGACATGTTTTATAACCCAAGAAAAGCCAGCAAAGAAGCTAACGGCTTCCTATGGGAGCTAGGCTGCTTCTCCTAGGGAAAAGGAAACACAGAGTGATCTCTGCTCCTGGGTTGCTGTGCCATGCACGCAAAGTCCATCACAGCTGTCCTGCAGCTGCAGAGAGCAAACAGGCTCAGCGCTCTTGTGGAAGGAAAATGACTCAGCTGAGGTCTTTCCTCCACCCTTCAGCGGGTAGCGAGGGAAGCGGAGGGGAGCGGGGAGGCTCACGGGGTGCCAGAACAGCTCCGCCAGTGACAGCACTCCTTGTATAAGGTGGCATTGCAATCTGGCTTAGCGCTGTGGATCATCTTACTAAGTGGTCCTTCAGAGCAGTGCATTAGTCAGTAGGAAACAGGGCATCACCAAACCCCTGGGACAGCCGTGGGCAAAGAGCTCCCAGCCCAAGACGGCTGCAGGTTAACGATGCATTATTCTTAATTAAATTGAACAAGAAAAAGATTGCCCCCACCTCGCCTTTCTGTGTATAAATTGATCTAAAACTGAAGGCTCACGTTTCCTTCCCGTTACTGTTAGTGACAGCATCCCCAGCACCCATCCATCAAGTTCCCCAGCACCTCCAGAGTCCCACCTGGCAGCAGGCACCCGCTTGGCTGTGAGCCACAGAGGAGAGTCACCCTGCTTGGGGAGCTCAGCCCTTTGGGACCACAAACCTTTCGTGTCCCCTCTGCCCTGGCTGGTTGCTCACCGCCTTTCCCTGCCAATAGCACACTCCTCTCTGCTCCCCGGGGATCTACATCCGCACCCTGATTGAGGACAGCCCCGCGGCCGCAGACGGCAGGCTCTCCATCGGGGACCGCATCCTGGCTGTCAATGGCACCAGTCTCATCGGGGCAGACTACCAAAGGTGAGTCGCACCTTGTTGGCTGGCCCGGTCTGGTATCGGTACCATGGGAGTTACTGCTCAAGTCCAGGTTTTCAGCAGTTTTGCAGCAAAGAACTGCAAGAGGGTCTCTGAGTCCCTGGTGCTACGGTCCCGGCTAACAATGCAGAGGATGCTGCGGTATGGGCAAGCTGCAGAGAGAGGAGCGACCTGCGCAGGACACTGGAAAGGGGGCAAGGCAGCTGTTTGGGGGGTTTGGAAGAGGGAGAGCACATTTGGGAAATAAATGACAGCTCCAGAGGTGGGTTCAGCAATGCAGAGCTGCTCCAGCCTCATCCCATCCCAGGCTTCCTCTCAAAGGCAGCGGGATGGGGCAGCTCGCACCCTGCCTGCCTGTCCGAGGGGCAGAGCAGCTCAGGGCTTGTTTGCTCTTGTCCTGGCAGCATTTGTGTGGAGGTCAGGCTCTCCATAAAGTTACAGGCAGAAGAGAAACAGACCCCTGCTTGTTAACACGGAGCAGGCACAGAGCAGAGGGTGCAGGTGTTTTGCGAATAGCGGGTGTTTTACAAATGTCCGTGACCTGGCAGGCTCCGGTGGGGCTGCCAGCCTGCGAGGAGCCAGAATTCACCTCTCTCCCTGTTGCCGCTCTCTGCAGTGCAGTGGACCTCATCCGCTCCGGAGGGAAGAAGCTGCGGTTTCTGGTTGCCAAGTCGGACATGGAAATAGCCAAAAAAATCAGTTCCACCTCCTCTTCCTCCTAGTCCCTGTGGTACAAGGGTCCTTCTGCAACAGCTTGCGGGTGCAGCTCTGGTTAAGGCTGACCTCGGGGAGCCTGGAGCGCAAGAAGGGAGGACCAGGACTCCACAACTGCCCTCGATTTGCTTTTCGACACCTTGCCTCTGCACTGCAGCAGATGAAAGGACATACAAGGGTGGTGCACGCTTCTCCCACTGCAGTGGCTGAGAGCATCATTCCTGATCCATTGCCTGGCCTCACCTTATACCCTGTGTCGTCCTTCTCAGGAACTCTCCTGGTCCTTCATCCCCTCTGGCAGGGGGCAGGAAGGGGACGCTCCCCCCACGGGGACTGTAGGCAGGCTCCTCCGTTCCTCTAGGCTGGCAGGCCTGCGTGATCTTTCACACTGGCAGGCAGAAAGCTTGAAACACTTTTGGGCAGTGGCTACCTGAGGTGCTGGCATGTCAGGTTTGAAAAGGATGCCCAGCTCTGGGAGTGGTAAAGGCAGCACAAGCACCCAGGAGTGGGATTCCGAGTAGGATGCATTGCTAGGAGTTAAGTTCCTCGGTGCCATACCCTAAGTCGGGTGCCTTTCTGCTGCTGGGCTACGATCATGCTGCCCCCAGCCTTGCTCCAGGATGGGAAGCAGCTACAGCAAAGGGCTGACACCACCAGCAGTTCCCTGCGAGTCCTGGGCAGACATCCTTGAAGAAAAGGACTCTCTCGTCCTTGCTCACGCAGCAGATTTATTACCTGGCTCTGGCACCGTGATCCTGGCAGAAGGCCTCCAGGACTGACCCAGCAGCGTGGGGCATTCACAGCAGAGAATTTCCCCACACAGGAGCTGTTGCCCCCTCCAAGGGGCTTCTGTGCACGTCCCTGGTCCTTGTGAGCCAGGAATGGTGGGTTTGTGCCACCAGGAACCTGAGCAAGCCTGGCAGCGTACGATGCCAGACCCCAGGCGTGGCTGACACTAGCTCAGGCAGACAAATGGCATCTTGGCACCGTGTCCTGGTCCTCTCCCTCCAGCTTTGCCAGGCCAGTGTAAGGCCACCCTGTTTCCTGCCCAGCTCAGAGCATCTAAGAAGTGTGTGCTGCTGACATGCCCATGGGTGATGACGGGCAGCAGAGGCTCCTTTTGGAAGATCAGTCTTGAATATCCCAGAAACAGCTCTGGTACCTGCTGCCAACAACAATGGTGTCAGCAGAGCTGAGGTGGCAGCTCCATCGTGCGGCTGGCCGGTCCCCTGCACACCCGGCCTCCTCCCCTGTGCTTTTAGCAACATTAACAGGATAAACCCGACCTGATTTCCACATATAGACAGATACCGAGACCTAGTTTAGCTGAACCCTATTAAAACTGCCTGCTGCAAAGTCCTACATCACACCCTGCACTTAAACCAGCATGGTCTAGGCTCTGGCAGCAAATCAGATACTCACATGGCATCTCGCAACAACAGTGCTCCAAGGATTGTGATGCTAAAAAAGGGATGCTTAACAGGGTTGGCCTTAATTAAACCTCACTGCTGTAGTTTTGGTTTCTGTGCTTAGTCTTGCACTTTGCAGGAGGGAGATGTCAAAATAATCCATGCAGGGGAAACACTCCACTACTGGATTTCAACACAGCCTGACCTGCCTTTTCTAGGGCAAGATGGACAAAGCACCTTCACCAAGACACTAGTGCCTTGCTTCTCTGCTAGGCCATGCTCACGCCAACTGGCCTGGGGTGCCGCCCCAGCAGGGACTGGGAAGACTGCACCCCTCCTGCCACCAACTCAGCTGTACCAGGCAGGCGAGCAAAGGCTCAGGGCCCCACAGGGCTCCTGGTGATTCACTCGACTTTGAATCAAGTAGGTATGTTGGCCTGTCATCCTCCACGGAGCTCAGCAGGTTTATAGGGCAGGAAAAAGGCTGCCTAGAGCCCCTGGGCAAACTGCATGCACTCCTTACTCCCCTCTGCCCGGGAGCCAGGGCTCAGGGCAGGCTTGGTTTGCACTAGACAGTACTGGGGCTGCACCCTGGCAAGTTCCAGCAGTACCAACACAACCCTCTGCTCCCCACTGAGCCTGACTCTCCAGGCACCCCTGGAGGTGGGAAACAGCCCCAGAGCTGTATGTTGCTCACAGTGCAGTCAGGTATTGAAAAAGACTGTAAATAAACCCTGCTATTTACTGGCGTGCATGAGGGCTTGCTTCTCCTGGGAGAAGCAGTGGGACGTATTTACTTCCCCCATTTGTTAATACTGTACAGCTCGAATGTGTATAAACTTCTGCAGATAGAGAACACAGCATGGCGCCTGTTTGACACGGGGCTGATGTATGTTAAAAAATGCTCTTGGTGTCAACAATAAACTGGATCAATAAATCTCTCTAAGCTCCGGTCTGGTAGCTGTCTCTTGGATCTCAACATGTTCCCTCTGGTGGTAAGATAGGAGAGCAGTGAGGGCTCACAGCAGACTTCATGGAGTCCCTTCTGCTTTCTCCACCTCGCACAGGCCCTTGCCTGGCTGATCTGCTGCAAGCAGGGAGGCAATAAAAGAAGCACATGCATAGCCAGGGTGTAGTGAGGGCAAAGGGGAGGGAGAAACAAGTCAGAGGAGGGAAGGGAAGAAGAAATACATCTCCAAAGGGGCATGGTGTGGTGGCAGGATATTAATGCATGCATTCACTCTCCTGCCACATTCACACAAGTCCGCTGGGATTTTCAATCCATACTGGCCAGGGAGAGGTAAGGTTAGGAGACACAACAGGCGCTAGGAGACAGAAATACAAATAGCATCAGAGCAGAAGAGCAGCCTCAGCTCTACTTATTTCTGTTTTCTGTTTCATTCACAATCATTTGTTCCTCATTTCCAGTTCAGAGCAGGGCCTCAGCCTTGAGCGTCAGCAGTGTCCGATGGGTTACAATAGAGGCTGGAGCCTCTCAGAAACCTCATGCCCTCACCCTGGCATGAAGCCAGGAGTCGACTCCAGGAGGCGAGTGACTATCCTCAGGGCAAAAGGGAGTGAGTCATTCACCTCTCTCTGAAACCTGGTACTGGCCACATCTATGGGTGGCGTGAACACAAACTGAGCCACGCTTGGCATTTTCAGTAGGTTCATGAGCTCAGTTGCCCGGATAAGGATCTCCTCAAGGTCCTCCTCGCAGTAAACAGCGGTGACAGCAGGGCTCTGCACAAATGTCCTCATCTTGGACAGGAACATGGACACTCTGCAGGAGAGAAGGACACGGACATCAACTGGAAGGACCTCTGCACTCAGCAAGGTCACTACTTAAGCCTGTGCACTCCAAAAGACTATTGCAGGTGAATACCAGATGCTACGCACCCCCTCCTCCTGATGCACAGAGCATTAGTCAGCAGATGAATCCCACTTCCCCAAACTGTGCTCCTCCACAGCTTGCTTCCTCTGTCCTGTTTCAGTTTCAGGTCCCATCAGTTGCCAAGCTTGATTATTTCACACTAGCAAACATCTGTGTTTGGACCCATGAGATCTGCACATTACAGCCCTTTGCCCTTCCTCACCGTCCCTCCTCACCTGGGGATCAAATCCTGGCTGCGAGCTGCCAGTTTGGTCAAGGTGGCCATGAGGACACTGATGGCACGGGGTGCATAGCTGGGAGTGCTAGCCAGTGGTCGGAGCTGGGTGATTTCAAATAGCATAGCCTCTAGAGTCTCAAAGAACCGGTTGATCTGCTCCACGGTGCAGCGCTTGTCATAGGACACAGACATGTACTCTCCAATAGCCCAGACCTGAAGCAAAGGCAGATGTGCTCAGGGCAAGCAGAGGGAAAGGGAATCGAATAATTTTTAGGGAATAGCAAATCAGATTAGCTAATGCTAGGACAGAGGAGAGGAGGAAGGGGAAGGTGACCAATAGGTTGCATCGTAGTTGGAGCAACCTGCGGCAGAAGCAGGCAGGCCCGGCTTACCACGTGGGTGAAGATGGTCTCCTTGTTCTGGATGTTGCTAACTGTTCCTGAGAACTCCAGAATCTCCGTGGACAGTTCCACGATGAGGGCAGGGTGCAGCTTGCAGAGCATCACCAGCTGCGAGCTCAGCACCCTGGAGGAGAGAGATGGGGAGAGCTTAGACCACGGGCAAGGCAGTCATCAGCAAACCAAGGAGGTGCTGGCAGCAACCAGTCACTGGCACAGTGGCTGTACACCCAGGATGTTTCCAGCAGGGCTGAAGGTGCAGTCCCCATTTTGCATGCTCCAAAGACATGTCCTGGCAGGGACTGGGCCACAACTGAAAACGCTCCTGGGCTGCCAGGCTGCAGCCAGTGGAAGGGCTGGGAGGGTGGCTGGGCCTCCTGTCCCATCTCACCTGTACACGTCATCTTTAAATGCTGGGATCTCATAGAGCTGGTCACTCCTCTGCAGCAGCAGCACCACCAGCTGGTTAATCAGTGGCCCATCTGCAAACTGAAACACAGCCCTTATTTCAGCAATACCAGTGACTTCCAGCAGCCAAAACCCAAACTAACCAGCCAGATAAGACAGCTGGCACAGAAACAGCCTGATCTAGCAGGAGGCAAGCAGTGAACAAAGCAGGTATCAGGCACTCATTCTGCTGTCACCCGCCTCCTTTACAGCTGACTGAGAGAACAGTGTGAAGCCTGACACTGCAGCATGGAGCTTTACTGTTTCTCCAGATGAAGTAGCCAGCTCAGTCACGGTTCATGTCAGCATTAGACCATCCCACCCTCACAAGAGATCCTCCACATAACAAGAGATCCCTGTGGCACACTCCCAGCTCAGCCAAACTCCCCCAAAAAGGCCTACCTCTGCCACCACCCTGAAAAAGAGCTCCAGTAAGACAGGGACAGTGTCCGCACATTGCATGACCCTTGGGCTGCTGGCCAGGGATCCCAGCAGCTGCCGAAGTGGAATCAGCCTGTGGGCAACAGAAGAGTTACTGTTGAAGGCTTGTTTCCAGCTACTCTCCTGGCTGCCCTTCCCTATCGCCCCACAAGGCCTTTGAGTGCTTGGCAAAGCTAACACAGGGAAGATCAAATCCGCTTCA